GGACACTTAACCGACTGAGCCACCCAGGCGCCCCAAATGGATACTTTCTTGTGAAAAGAATGTTAAAATACTCCCTAAACCACCACACTACCAGTTAACTTCCTCCACCCTAATCTGGTGCTCCTTCTTGATAGATTTTTATAAAGGTAATCCTTTCGGACCTTTGCCACATATTAACATGCATGCGGAAAAGTACCTGGCACGCGGCAGGTTCATTTTGAAAGGTAAAAATTAGCATGTCTCTTATTAGAAGTGACTTACTTTTTCAGTTGTTTGCCCAGGTAGAGGCTGTCTCAATTTGAAATTCAAAGGATTCCTTGTAAATTATGTCAACATATCTTAAAGGTTGATTTAATTTTGCAAAATGAAGTTACCTACAACTCTTTCAGTATCCTAATGAGGCTCAGTCTTCTGTGGCCAGCAGAGAGCTGTCGCTTTGAGAAGATCCCCTGGGAGTGCCTCCAGGAAAACAACAGTGGCATAGTGCTATTTAGCCTTTTCACTATGCTGATACTTTATCTTTTATGTTAAATCAGATTTTGTTTTTAAAATTAAGGATTCTTTGTTTTGTTTTTTGTTTTTTCTTATGAAGGTGAAATTCCTGGAAGATTTAGTGGAGTGATTTTTATTGTGAGAAAGCCTGTTGCAAAATTTTTCCCATGCAAAAAGTGAAAGAGGAAAAAAATCTTCCGTTCTTTGTTTTTGATTTTTAAATGTTTATTTTTGAGAGTATGAGTGGGGGAGGGGCAGAGAGAGGGAGGGAGGGAGACACAGAGTCTGAAGCAGGCTTCAGGCTCTGAGCTTTCGCACAGAGCCCGATGTGGGACTCGAACCCACAAACCATGAGATCATGACCTGAGCCGAAGTTGGACGCTTAACCAGCTGAGCCACCCAGGTGCCCCAATCCTCCATTCTTTGAAGCAACATTTCTTCTGCTTCCAAACTTGGAGCCACTTTGATTTCTCATGTTTAAATTGTGTTTATGAGTGATACAGTTTAATGGCAAGACTAATTTTGTGCTTTGAAGCATATATTGACCTTTTTCTGTAAAGCCAGTGTTTGAAAAACGTCCCCTGGATGTTAGATTATAGGACTAGAGGAACATGGGGAAGAAAGGGCCAGAAGATGGACTTAAAAAGTCAATAGAGGGTAGCTTTGAAAATAAAAAAGTCACTTGCACAAGAGTGAGAACCCAAGCCTGCTGTTCTTTTGCCTCTGTGACACATATATCACCAGTCTCTAAACCAGGGTTGCCCAACATCTGTGAACAGACTTGAGAGTTTTACGTTTTGCTTTATCCTTCCTTGCTACATTCAAATCCGAATGGCATCACTCTCCCCTAAAACAGTATAAAAGACTTGTTCCTTTCCAAATTTAATGTACGTGGCTGATTTTAGGATTTTTCCTTTCCTTCCCGCCAAATGTCTCTTCCATGCCTAGGGAGATAAATACACAGGAGAAATTACACTCTGTCCCCCAAGGGAGAATTAAACTTTTAAACGTGAGTTCTAGAGAGAGTTGGTCCCATCTATCAGAGGCAGGTCTGTGTGAAGTGGCCAGTCAAGGGTGATAAATGGGTAGTCAGCTGTGCATAGCCTGCCCCGTGGGCCCAGGGTTGCCATGGAAGCGCCCAGTGGCATTCAGCGATCCTGCATGACTAACCTAGATTAGCAGCAGGGCCCGTGGGCTCCAGCCTGGAAGAAGGTGCTCGAAGCCAGATGATGGCCAGGCCGGCACGCCGCCCCACTGCTCATGTTCAGCTTGGGCCTTCCTGTTGCCGTCTTTTCCTCCTTCCACATACGGTCTTTCCTTTTTTGTGTGAGGGAAAGTGAGAAAGAGGGATTGCTCTCATTAATGCTCACAGAGCTGGGATTTCTTCATTTTTATCACAGTGTTCTAACACGTCCATCCGAAACCCCAAGGAGGAGCATTTGAAAAGTCGGAATCAATGTGCCCTGACAGGCCCCAGCATGGGGTTGACTAAATGACTGCATTCAGGGGCTGAATGGGCAGCTCCGAATTCCTCAGGAGTTTCACAACCTCTCTGAAAGTGAGAGCATCCTATCCTGGCTTGTTTTAGACTTCCAGGCTTCATCCCGGCTCCTGCGTGGATGAGAATGGTGGGATTCTGTCACCGAAGACATGGGTGGTGCAGGCCAGCGCAGTGATGTCTCGTGCGGTTGTGTTCTGCAGGGCACACTGGGCCCTGGGATGTGAGGCCTGTGCTTCCCCCTTTGGTCCTTCTAGTTCACTTAAAAAAAAAAAAAAAAAAAAAGTGGCAGGAGGTGGTTTGTTGCCGTTCGCAGAGATCCTTTTGGTGTATCAGCGCTGCAACCTTTGCAGATAGATGGTGGACGGTAGCATATGATCCAAAAGCAACAACGTGGCTTCTGAAAGGAATCCCCTGATTTAGAATACTTAAAGCAGACTTTCCGTGGAACTCATGGATATCTGCCGGGTGGGCAGACTTTGCACCCTCTCCCCAGGGGTATTTCGACACTGTGGACTTGTTTTTGAATGCATTCAGCTGCTTGAAGTCGTCACGTGACTTGGTCTTTCTCTCCCCAGGTAGGGACTCCTGGGCCCACCAGACAACTAGCATTGAGGCCTAGGTCAGTGGCCAGAAGTTACTGGGAGTGGAGCCCGATATTGGGCATGTAATGGCTGCTTTGGTACAAGTTTATTTGCAGCCTGTTCTTTAAAGATATTAATGCAAAGAGCCTCTAGCACATTGGAGATGACTTGTGAATCCAGAGGTTATTATGGGGCCAGTGACCTCAAGTCTGTAAATTCAAGAAAGCTCTAACAACAACAAAAAAGGTTCCAAAATGAGAATTTGTAGTGCAGTGTTTATAATTTGAGGAGCCACTTCATGCTGCCAGCCATCCCTCTCTCAAAGGACTCTCTGTTAGGTCCTTCGGCAAAGACAGACCTGTGTGGACACATTTAAGCAAACGCATCTTGTGGCTCTGAGATTGCTCTGCCGGCAGGGATAAAACCTGAATTAATCGACGTGTCCCTCTTTGAGACCAAGGAATTGTGAACACACAGCCCACCTTCTTTGTTATTGCCCTATTTAACACAGCCTGAAAGCTTTGCCAGCAGAACTGTGGTTAAGAGCACACGCTTTGGTGCCAAGCAGATCTGCATTCGAATTTTAAGGTCTATTATTTAATAGCAGGTTAATCTCTGAGCTTTCTTTTCGTTCACCTGGAAAATGGGGTTAATAATCTCCCTCTCACAGAGTTATTGTGAAAATTAAATAGGAGACTGATGTGCTGTGCCTGAATCAGTGCCGACTGAACAACAGATGCTTAAGTGGTGGACGTGCTAGGCTCTGCTGCTGTTGCTGTCTTCATTGCTCTTGTTTTTCGGTAAGCTTTGTTTGAGTGCTCCACATAGCCCAAGAAGAGTGTACTATGTTGTGCTCCTCAGGACCACCTAGAAATCTGTTACACGTGCACATCTCAGGCCCTGCGTTAGATCTACTGACTCAGAAACTCTGGAGGCAGGTCTTTGCCCTCTGTGTTCTGATCCCCCCCCCCTCCCCCCGCGTGATGCTAATGCTTGCTGGTTTGGGAACCTCTCATCTAATGCTAAGGGAAGGAGAACTCCTAGCTCACTCCATTCTGCATGGAACCGTGAGAAAGTCTAACAGTGAAATGCTGATGTTGGGATGAGGTTATCCCATGAGGGAGAATATTTTCTCCTCCACAACAGAGGAAAAATGCCACCTTTAATTAAATGAAGTGGTAGTCAGCTTGTAATTATTCAAAGATAATTAACAGTTTGTGAATCTTGTAGGACATGTACTGCTACCTAAAATCCCCTCATTTAAAATTCTATCCACTCGCTCTTTGCTTGTACCTTGAGTTAAAAACAATGACATATAAGGCTGAACAGTGATTTACTTACTCATGCTACTACTTGCGTTAATATTTTTAAAATTTGTATTTCCCCCGATGTCAGAATAGAACCAAGAAAAAGAAGATACTCATGAAAAAATTTGCTTACGAACTTGAACAAACCATCCTTGAAGCCATTGCAAACTTACAATAAGTAAAAGCCAAATAAACCAGAAAGCTCCCTACCTAGTACAGTTGGCAAAACTCTGTTAGTTGCAAGGTGAGAAGGTGGACGATCCAGAAGAATGAGGTCTCACCTTGTCCTGTGTAGTCCTGCCAACTGTGGACTGGTCACTTCCTGTCTCTTCTGCCTTCCCCGGCCCTCTAGGGAGTGAGACCCTAGGGTAGGTGAGAGAGAGTTTCTCTGTCAAAGTCTAGACCTCCTAAAACTCATCCTATCAGTGACATTCCTGTGGTCTTTCCTCATCTCCCTATTTTTGGGTTTTCCAGTTGAAGGGTAATAATTAATAAGAAAAAAATATATTCAACGCTTGTTTCAAGATTGGTGTAGTATTATGTATGTTGCCAATAAAATCTTGGTGTGGGTTTTTCACTTTTTTTAAACTAGTGAAGTAAAACTTGTAATTAAGCAGAGTCCCTAATTTAATAGGATTTCTCCCCTGTGGGAGGTACCTTGATATTTGAATCACACAGCAATAAGCCAGTGTTAGGAATTTTGTCAAATTGGGTTCTTCTCGTTATTTCCATAGCAGTCTTTATACCTGGAAGCGAGCGTGGTGGAATGTACCAGATGCTAAGATAAGGCTGTGCTGATTAATTTGGAAATACTTCAGTCATTTTAAGCCAGGGTAGCTTTTCTTAAAGGTACGTGTGGAGTCAACAGGAAAACTAAGTGAGGACCCCAAGCAGCCTGATGGTTGAGGTTCTGCTGTTCACATCCTCGCTTTTCAATCCTGAACGGAGACTTAAGCCATTTGTGGTTCCCTTTTCTGAGACAAGGGTAGCAGTTATTCAGAAGCAGTTACTCATGAAGCAGAGCCAGAGGCTGTGAACACGCCATGCCAATAAAGCCACAGGGACTTTGCCGTTGTCCCCAGCAGAATCCGAAAAGGGAGAACTCCCTTCGTGGCGAGAATGGTAAAGCAGACGCCCTTGGGAGGCCGCTTCTCCTTGTGCGTGCCCATTCGGGGTACAGTACCAAGTAGCTTTGGAAAAGAGAAACTTGGCAGTTCAGGTTGCCCAGAGGTAGTTGCATGCCCCACGCCCTCTGTAAACAAAGTGGCTGTAAAAGCAAGTTTGAAAGAAGAAAGTTATTTCCTGATCAACCCTCTTATTGGCTCCCATGGATGTATGTTAACGTTACGTATGTTAATGTTACGTGATTGTTTTTTGGGCCAACGAGGAATTACCAAAATTCTAAGGTAATTGAAGGGAATTCCAGAGTAGTCATCAAGTCCACTGTGCTTCTTTCAACCAGAAATAAATCTAATTGTCCAAAACATGTGAGATTCAGACTTTGTTAAAGAATACTCCATGGCTAGTTTCTGGTTTAGTTTTTCTTTCCTTCACTTTTTTCAGTATGTTGACTGACATAAATTGTTCACTTTGTAGTTCTCTGAAAGTAGGACATCGAGATATCCATCATTTAGGAAAAGTTTTTGGTAACAGTGGTCTGAGCAGGTAATTCTTTGCCACATCCTGGTGAATTTAGCCAGGTAGCTTAGCCCCCCACTACCTTAAGGCTGTAGAAATAGCTGCAAATCACTTTTTAGAGGGCTGTGTTTAAAAAAAAAAAAAAATTGTTGAGAGAGAGAGAACATGAGTGGCAAAGGAGCAGAGAGAGAGAGAGGGAGAGGGAAACAGAGGATCCTGAAGTGGGCTCAGTGCTGACAGCAGAGAGCGCATGTTGGGCTCGAACCCACAAGCTCAAGCCTTGAGATCATGACCTGAGCCAGAGTCAGGCGCTCAACTGACTGAGCCACCCAGGCGCTCCTAGATGACTTTTATTTTATTTTATTTTATTTATTTTATTTTATTTTATTTTTTTAACATTTATTTATTTTTGAGACAGAGTCAGAGTATGAACGGGGGAGGGTCAGAGAGAGAGGGAGACACAGAATCTGAATCAGGCTCCAGGCTCTGAGCCATCAGCCCAGAGCCCGACGCGGGGCTCGAACTCACGGACCGTGAGATCATGACCTGAGCCGAAGTCGGACGTTTAAGTGACTGAGCCACCCAGGCACCCCGATGACTATTTTTTAAAAATTGTTTTTGCATGTGTCTTTCAGCATTTTTTTGTTTGTTTTGTAATTACAAGTAAGTTTTAAAAAATATACTGTAAGCAATAGCAGCTGTTTTTTTTTTTTTTAATTAAAAAAATACTTAAATGATAAGCTTCAATGCAAAGTACCATGCTTTAGTATCAGGAAAGAGAGAAATATGAGTCGTTCTATTTTGATGGAGTTCACATTCTAGGGGGAAGGGGAGGAGGAGAGAGAAGCAATCAGTATGTTCTATCAGCACATACTTGGTGGATTTGAGGAACCCTTTAGGGTGAGTAACACTGGAACCTTCACTCCAGAGATTTGCTGGTGGCTGAAAATTGGGGATGGGGGTGTGAGGTTGAGAGAGAAGCAGAGGAAATTGCTTAGAATGAAAGCATTGAAGTTCAGGATGTCAGTGAGGAGCAGGGAATAGTCTGGTATGCCTGGAATATAGATGTGGTCTGCAGGAGAATCATATTTTGTGTGTAAGCTGGTCCTGAAGAATTGGATATCATTCAGGGTTTTTGGGGTGGGGATTGGAGCAAGAGGGTATCTTTAACAGGGTATGTTTGGGGAATGGACATGACTGTCAAGAGAATGCTTGTGGCAGGCCTGCAAGGGAGACAGTAGGATAATATCTAGAGACAGTAGGATAATATCTAGAGTAGATCTGTACCCGATTATGGGGGAATTTTAATGCCAAAGCAAAGATTTAGAGTTTATTCTGCAGCAGCAAAGAGCTGTCCAATTCTTGTTATTTTAAAATATGGATAGTGCCACAAAAACCAGAGTTTTAGATTGGATTTCTTTCCATGAGAAGGTTAATTTAGAGGGACAAGATGTTGGGGAGGCAGAGAGACCAGTAAGTAGGCTCTTGCCAGAGGAAATAAAGAGACATGAGAGCAGAGGCCAGGAAAAGGGGTGTCTGAGATGGGGGCGAGTTTCTAAAGGTATATATTGTCTTGGCAAGACAATTGAAAAATTTCCTACTTATTTATTTACATAATGGTGAGGGAAAGGATTCAGTAGATACCCTAGAAGGAAGTGTTATGAGGACAAAAGTTGGCTTATAGTTCTTATTTTCGTTATTCTCATACATCACCTTGTGGGGGGTCGAGAGGGTGTGGCCTGTGTTGCCCACCTGAGGCAAGCCCACTTTTGGTTTATATGCTGGCTAAAACCGCACTCTTTTTGGTTTCCATCTCTGCAATTTATTTGTCAGTGAATGCATTTTTAACCCCTTTGGTGCCAGGGCTGATGATTTAGGATGTATTTTTATGTGGTTTAAAAGGATGTAGGATATAGTTTTATGTGGTTTAGGGCAAGCAGATTATCAGACTTCTCGGTAGGTAGAGATGACATCTACAATTGGATTTTCCCATCCTTGACGTTTGAAATGAGAAATAAAAATTATCTTTTCGGATTTACATGCCAAGACACTCCCAGTAGAATAAGCTGAGAATAAAGTAAATGCTGTTTGGGGTGGTTGGTAATCTTTTAATTATGAAATAAGCCTTTTGATTTTAATCTTCCAGAATGTATAATACTGATCCAGGAAAACAGCCTTTTTAAAGTTCACATCCTGCTGACTCCTTCAGATGAAAAGCTTCTACCTCTACCCCATATTTTGCAAGCTAAAAGTAAAAATATCATTAATCTTGTCTCTCTTCCATGACTGCCTATAAAAGACTGTTCAGTTTGGAATCAGTCCTGAGCCATGAAGGCAGTATTCCAGAGTGAATGCTTAGGTTTCTGGAGCCAGGACCCGCAGCTGGAGGGTCACAGCCTTAATCCAAGAGTGGGTTGAGGGGACTTAGGCTTTCTTGAAAACATCTCCCTTGTCATACCTTCTTGTTGACCTATCCTGGCCTCCTTCACACATCTACATATGCATAGCAAAACTTTGGACATGATAAATTTTATTGTTTTTGTTCTTTTGTGGCATCTGAAACAGCTTGTACAATGAAGACAGAAATCTGCTTCGAATTAGAGAGAAGGAAAGACGCAACCAGGAAGCTCACCAAGAGAAAGAGGCATTTCCTGAAAAGATCCCCCTTTTTGGAGAGCCCTACAAGGTATTTATTGAATACTAGAAAGTCTGATTTATCACCGTATTTAACTCTGCATTGAAAATGAGTTTGAACAAGGGTCACAAACGTGAAAATAAGACAACTTATCTTAGGTTGGTTTTGAAAACAAACTATGAAAATTCTCTGAACATTGTTGTGCAAATTACCAAAGTTTATAGTCTTTTGTAATGTCAGTCTCTTGTCTTTAGTAATATTTGTCCGTGACAGGCTTCTCAACAGGGGAACTGAGTTTAAATTTCATGTTACGTTTCCTGTCACATTAAATTGAAGTTTTGTGGTTATTTTTCCCCTTTTAAATGGTATTATGTAACACTGTTTATTAAATAGTGGTTTTCCTTAGATTTTTTTTTTTTTTCTGGTATCTAACTCTGCTGTCTTTCCTTTTTCAGACAGAAAAAGGTGATGAGCTATCCAGTCGAATACAGAACATGTTGGGAAACTATGAAGAAATGAAGGAGTTCCTCAGTACCAAGTCCCACCCTCATCGCTTGGATGCTTCTGAAAATAGGTTGGGAAAGCCAAGATATCCTTCATTTCCTGAGAAGGGGAGCAGCATTCCACCCCACCCCTTCCACACCAGTGCCCACCACCAGCCTATTAACACTCCTGCCTCCGGACCACTTCCTGTTGGTAACATCAGCCACAATCCAAAGATGGCACAGCCAAGAATGGAACCAATGTCAAATCCTCATGTCAGAGGCTATGGCCCACCAGACAGCCAGCACCTGACCCAAGATCGCCTCGGTCAGGAGGGGTGCGGCTCTGCTCATCACAAAAAAGGTGACCGCAGAGCTGATGGAGACCGCTGTGCTTTGGTGACAGACTCTGCTCCAGAGAGGGAGCTCTCTCCCTTGCTCTCTTTGCCTTCCCCAGTGGCCCCCTTGTCACCTGTACATTCCAACCAGCAGACTCTTCCCAGGACACAAGGAAGCAACAAGGTTCACAGCAGTAACAGTAACAATAAAGGCTATTGCCCGGCCAAATCTCCCAAAGACCTAGTGGTCAAGGTCCATGATAAAGAGACCCCTCAAGACAGTTTAGTGGCAGTTGCCAGCCTTGGGGTAGCCCCTCCCCAGCCACCTTCTCAGACTTTCCCCCCACCTTCCCTCCCCTCAAAAACTGTGGCAATGCAGCAGAAGCCCACGGCTTATGTCCGGCCCATGGATGGTCAAGATCAGGCTCCAAGTGAGTCTCCTGAACTGAAACCACTGCCGGAGGACTACCGGCAGCAGACCTTTGAAAAAACAGACTTAAAAGTGCCTGCGAAAGCCAAGCTCACCAAGCTGAAGATGCCTTCTCAGTCGGTTGAGGTGAGTGAAATTTTGTATCTGGGACAATTCTGGTGTGAAGGAAAATTTGAGATGGAAGGTTCTGGAGAATTGGGGGCATGGATGTCAATAGCTTTTGGGTTGTGAGACTCCTTTTTGGCTTTGGGATCATGTTGACCCAAGAGAACTCAGGTCTGAGCTAAATTGCTGATGACGGATACTGAAATGTGATTTTCAGGAAGGTCTTTAAAAAAGTATTTTTATTGGGCCATAACTTATATGCTGTAAAATATAGAGATCATGAGTACCGTTCGCTCCGTTTTATAATCTACAACCCAATCATGGTATTTATCATAAGAAAGTTTCAGGAAGGTTTTGAGCTATTGTTTTTGTTTGTTTGGGGGAACACTGACATTGTAGAGCAAAAAAAAAAAAAAAGTTAAGACTTCTCTACCCCAGTTAGTTTTTCTGAGATCTAAACCATACAAAAGTGAAAGTAAGAGGTTAAAATGTTGAAGGCAAAGTATTTCTAAAGCTTATAAAGATTTCCCTGTAAATTATAAGAAACTCTGAAACTGAAGTTCTGTTTTATTTACCACCTAAAAAAGGAGTGGGGGTATGGTGACCTCTCATTTGAAAGTGAGTCACAAATATAATACAGAATGTTATTCAACTCTGGCTTTTTCAAGTAACCAAAATACTTTATCTTTTTAAGCAAAGAAGAAATTCCTTTTTCTGCTCCTTTGTAAATGGCAGCATTGTGTTTGAATGAAGAGAATCAGAGCACACATCTTATCACTGGAATTCTAAATTAGCACCAGTTAGTTACTCCAAAATTCAGATTAGTAGTGCAAAGTGAAATGTTTGAAGTGAATTTGTCTTGAAGCTTATCTGTTAAGGTAATGTCCTTGGTTTAGTCACATCTATTGTATAAACATTCTAATTTGCATATCCATTGCTCAAAGGCTTTTGTGGGCACCCAGATATCAGTCTTACCTAGTGCTAGAAGGTAAAATTCCTTAAGGTTTAAAAACAAAACCAAAACAGACTCCAGGATGCTTAACTGGAAAGATAACCCTTATCTTGAAGAAGGAAAATCTGTTCCTCTGGGGTGTCAGCTTTTGGTTTAAAGAGGTTATGGCTCCATCCACAGTCAGCTGTTGAGATGGAGTGTCTCTGGATGTTTTCACCATGTGACTTATTTGGAGGCTGAGGAAAAATGGGAAAGCGGGAGGAAAACAAGTGGTAGAAATGGCCAAAATGGCAGAACTCATAACTCCCATAAGTTATGAAAATTCACTGTAATGATATTTACTAAACATTGTGTGCTGGGCTAGGGGGAGAGGTAGGCAGCAAATTAAGTTAGAGTGAAATGAAGTGAGATCTTCCTCACAATGGTCAGCCAGCCTGCCTTATAATTCAGACAGTAAAGAATTTAGTGGGATTTTCTTTGCCTTATTTATCAAATAACTGTTTTCCTAGTTTAAAAAACAGATAAGGGGGAAATTTAAACATATTTTCTTTAAAAACAAAAAACCATGCCACTAAAAATTGCTTTAAAACAAGTTTAAGACAAATTAGCAAATATTTGCATTGTCTGCCAAATGCTCCACCATATGCTTAAGCGCAGGGTGGGATGCCAGGCAAGTATTGGTGCTGCCCCAGGAGAGATGACAGTCTAGTGTGTACATCAGCCTCCACACATGAAACAGTTAGAGGTCAGTGGAGTCCAAACTATCTACTACTTGGTGCCTAGGAGAAAGTTTCAAGTGGTTGTCATAAAGCGGTGAACCTAGGTAAATTGAACCAATGGGATTTCTAATAGACCTTCCAGGGGAGAGAATCCTAGTCAACTTTTTGCTTTCTTGGTGAAGAAAAGATAAGCCAAGTTGAGATTTCTCCAAGGTCTCAAAGCTCCTCAGATGTAATATGTTAGGCCATAGGACCATGCTAGATGGCCCTGGGATATTTTCTGAATGGATATTTGAAAGGAACAAAATCCTCTATAGGTTTGGTGATTGGAGCATGGGGTTTTCTTGGCCCAAGGTCATCTGCTGTCAACAGTTTGAGCAGGTGTGAACCTTTCATCTTGGGCCTGTGCTGTGTTCCCAGTTAGCATTCATTTTAACATGGTGGTGGCTCCGTCTAGTATCTGCTCAGGGTTCTTGGGCTGCTGGCAGCTGTGGTGCCGACTGCCTTGAGCCCCTGGAGATGGAGGGCTCAGGGCAGCCTATGTGAAGGGGGGGATTCAACGTTAAGCTCTTGGAATGAAGGGGGAATAAATCTGGAAATCAGGGGTATTAGTGTTATCTGACTAGGTTTCAGATCTGTTTAGCTCTTTTATCTAATATCTCACGTTTCATAGACTTAACATTAACTTCACACACCTGATAAAATGGGTATTTTTAAATATTTTTTTT